CCTGGCACTCCTCCTGCCTCAGCCTCCTGAGTGCTGAGATTACAGGCATGCACCACCACACTAGCCCCTTCAGAACTTTTTAGAGTGCTGTTTTGTTTGGTAATCATGAATTTCTTTAGGTTTAAGGGTTTTATTGAGAAGTCTTCTGTGATTCTGATGGGTTTTCCTTTATAGGTGATGTGTCTCTTTTCTCTTACAGTTTTACTATTTTGTTCTTGTGTTGAATTTCTGGAATGTTGACTTCTATACTCTTGGTGCAGTTTTTCTTCTGATCATGACTATTTGGAGTTCTATATGACTCATTTATCTGTATCTCAAGTTCTTTTTCCATGCTTAGAAAATTTTATGCTATTGCTTCTGTGAACAGGTTTTTATGTCCTTTGTGCCATCTCTTGATTCTTCATTGATTCCAGTTAATCTTATATTAGCTGTCTTTGCACCGTCTAGCAGCTGTTGGATTGATTTTTTTGTTTCCTTCGTATTTTAAGAGATCTTTTATTTGATTGCCAGCTACAACTTTGTCTGCTGCATCTGATATTCTGTCTTCGTATTAGTTGGTTCTGCTGCATATACTGTTAGAATTTTTAATCTCCTGGATTTCTATTTGAACCTGTTTTGTGAAATCCAATTCTTTTCTATGTTAGGCATTCATGTTTTCTATGTCTTTCCTAAATGTCTCTATTTTTTATTTGTATCCACTTTAGATTCATTAATCATTTCATTCATTATGGTTGCCATTTTTTTGTTATATCTGTTTGGTTTTTGTCAAGAGATTTTGTTGATCTGTTTTGTTACTTCTGCTGCCATGTTTCATTACATTTAGCAAGGCAGTTTTTAATTTTTCTTACCTCACTGCCTCCTGGATTTGCCTTGGGCAAGTTGGGAATTATGATTTTTACCTTGGTTCCACATTTCTAATCTTCTATTATTTGCTTGTTTTCTGCCTTGAGACTTGTAAATTGCTAATGATAGGTAGCTTTCTTACTACTATTGAGAGCATTTTAGGAAATAATTACTTTTCAGAGATGTCTTCTAGACATAGCTGGCTTTTGGCTTTTGAGTCTGTTTGAATGTCCTGCCTCTTCAATTTATTAAGGATGAAAGGTTACTGCCTATTTGACCTAGCACCTAGTTTTTTGGTACTGGATTATAATATTGTTTATGACCCTCAGGTAATCTAGGTATTGGCCTACAAGGAAAATCAATTGATCACATCTATGTCACGTTGGCTAAAGCAATATAATCAGTAACAACAACAGCATCAAGCCCAGTCTAGAAATTGACAAATTATGATAACTATTAGTTTTCTACCTTTAACAATGGGTACAAGATTTATAGTGATACAAAGTCTAACTTATCAGAACTAGGTGTGGTGGTACATGCCTGTAATCTCAGCACTTGGGACACTGAGGCAGGAGGATCACCATGAGTTTAAGTGAGCCTAGGCTATTTAAGTGAGTCCAAGGCCAGTCTGTACTACATACCAAAAAAAAAAAAAAAAGTCGCAAAAAAAACTGTCTATCTATCTATCTATGACATGACAGAAAATTATATACTGTAAATATATACTAGACAGTTATTTTACCCTCAAGAGAGAAAATTTAAAGTGGATGAGGAAAAAATAGAGAAATAAAAGAGAAAGAGGTTAGAGACAAGGCCTAAGGACAAAGGCCTATTACCCAAGCCTCAGGAAACTGGAGAAGACAGGAGGTAAAGAAGGAAAAACAAGAGCAAATCAGAACAAAAGCAACGCTAAAAATAATATTCACACTCATGAAAAAACAAATCAATTAAAAGAACAACAAAACCCAAAAGCAAAGAAAAGAGAAAAAAAAAAAAGAATAAAAGAGAGGAAAATTTCTCTGTGATTTCAAGCCTGTGCTGTCTCCTGAGACTTACAGTCAGAATAATAAGAGAAAAAAATAAAAAAATAAGGAATAGGAAAAGGAGAAATGAAATTATTATTATTATTTTCATGACATGATGCTTTACATAGAAGACCCCAAAAACTCCATCAAAAACTTCTAGATTTAATAACCAAATTCAGTAGCATAGCTGGATACGAAGTCAACAATCATTAGCATTCCTATACATAAACAAATGCATCAACAGAGAAATTAGGGAAATGACAACCTTACATAATAAAAAAAGTAAAAGAAGCACCTAGGAGTCAATAAAAGAAGAAAAAGTTCTATACAATGAAAATTGTAGTACTCTGTAAAAGGAGACTGAAGAGGATAACAGAAAATATCCCTTGCTCCTGGGTAGAAAAAAACCAACATATTAAAAATGCTCTGAAAACTGCTATACAGATTTAATACGATTCCAATCAAAATATCATTAGCGTACCTCATAGAACTAGAGGAAACATTCCTAAAATTCACCTGGAACTACAAGAGACCTAGAATAGCAAAAGCAATAAAAGCAAGAGATGGAGCATCACAGTTCCTGACCTGAAATTACACTATAAAGCTACTGTGGTAAAATCAACATGGCACTGGCAAAAAAAACAAACCCGAGGACCAGTGGAACAGAAGATGTAGACACAACTCCAAACACACTCAGCCACCTTATTGTTGAAAAAAGGGCCAAGCATGTTTACTGGAAGATAGTCTCTTTAATAAATGGTGTTGGAGACACTAGCTTTCCACATGCCAAAGACTGAAACTAGACCCCTGTCTCTCACTATGTTCTACACTAAAATCAAAGTGAATCAAAGATCCAGATATTAAAACAAAAACACTAAATCTGCTGAACAGATTATAGGTATACCACTTGAAGACATAGATATAGGCAGATTTCATGAACAAAACCCAGATTCCACAGCAAATACTATAAAGCATCAACAACTGGGATCTCATTCTATTGAAAAGCTCTCACATAGCAAAAGAAATTAATAGATTGAAAAGACAACCTGTTATGGTTTGTGTCTATGTATGTCCACCAAAGCCTCATGCAGTCATAGGAGTGGGCTTCTAGTTTGTGATTGATTCGTGGTCCAGTGCTGGATTATGGATGTTGAGCGCTCTATCCACCCTGGGACGGGGAGCCTGCATACAACATACAGGATGGAAGGCTTGTTCTCGCTCCTCTTTTGCTCTTGTTGTTTTGGTTATTTTCTGCTGCCATGAACTACTGGCCCTGTGCCATGCTAATTACGGACTCATACCTCCACCAACTGTGAGCTAAATAAATCTTTCCTCCCTTAATTTTAGGTGTCACATATTTTGTCCCAACAATGAGAAAAAAAATAACCAACACAACACAGAGTGGGAAAAATTTATAGACAGTTGTCCCTCAGACATAGCACTAATATTCAGAACATACAAAGAATTGAACAAAATTAGACTTTCTCGACAGTAAAGACCTAATCTAAAATATGGCATTTGAGATGAATACACACTTCTCAGAGGAAGAAACACAAATGGGAAATAAATATATGAAGAAATGTTCACCATCCAGCTGAGAGATGCAAAGCTGGGCATGGTGGTGCGCCTGTCATCTCAGCATTTTGGAGGTTGAGGCAGGAAAACTGCTGTGTTTGAGGCCAACCTCGGGTATAGTGACTGTTCAAGACCAGACAGACCGAACTACACAATGAGACCCCATCTGAAAAAAATCAAGGGTGGAATAAAAAAGGGCTGGGGATATAGCTCAGCAGCATAGTACCTGACAAGCGTGAGGTTGTAAGCTTGACTCCTGGTACCACACATCTCGCCCCCCAAAAATATTGAGAGATGAAAAAACAACCCTGAGATTCCACCTCACCCCAGAAAGAACAACTATTTCAAATTCTTTTTTTACACCAGGGATTGAACTCACCACTGTGTGCTTGCAAGGCAGGCACATACGCTGTTGAGCTAAATCCCTAGCCCTCCAGAAAGAACAACTATTAAGAAATCAACCAATAACAAATGCTGGTGGGGCAGTAGGGAAAAAGGAATCCTTCTCTACTCTTGGTGGGAATGTAGACCAGTGCAACCACAGTGGAAATCAGTGTGGAGGTTCCTCAACTAGGATTAGAGGTCTCATTTAACCCAGCTATTCCCCTTCTGGTTTCTTCCCAGGACAATTAAAAATATCTTATACACCACACCAACATACATGCACCCATGTTTATAACAGCACAGTTTGTAATAGCTAAATCTTGGAAACAACTAAAATGCCCATTAACTAAGGAATGGATAGAGAAAGGTGGGTGTTTAAAAATAGAACAGAGCACTACTTAGTCATAAAGGATAAACCTAGCCATTCCTACGTAAATAGATTCACCTGGAGGTCATACTCTTTAAGTGAAATAAATTTGACACATATAAATAGTGCATTGTTTCTTTGGTGTTAGAAACCAAAAGAATAAATAAGGACCAAAGTATATATAACAGGTACTGTGGAATAGGAAGAAATTATTCAAAAGGAAAGGGAAACTAAGGAGGGGGGAGGGGAAAAGGGAAAATGATAAGAATGCAATGATATAAAGCTTTGTAAGTAAGGAGGGGTTAGGGGTTGGAGAGGGCAGGGGACAGGGAAACAGAGGGACCGGGATATGCCACGTGCAGGTATAAATTCTCTATGATGCAATCATTATGTTTATCTAAATTACCAGTAAACTTACTAAAGGACTTAGATGTTTAAAAATGCCTTTCCCGGAGTCAGGAGTGGTGGTGCATGCAGGAGTGGAGGCTGACGCAGGAGGATCACCACAAATTTGAGGCCAGCCTGGGCAATACAGTGAGTTCAAGGTCAGCCTGAACTAGAGAAACCATGTCTCTTAAAAAAAAAAAATCCTTTTCTTTCTAAAGAGCAGCTTTAGTATATAAATACACAAATAACTAGCTGTGTAGTCTGGGTTTGGTTATTATTCCTAATCTCTTTTCCTTAGATGAACTTAAAATACTGAGCTCATCATAGGCACAGACCTTTCTTTTAAAGTTAAAAACTCCCACAACCTATTTGAGTGACTTGTTACACAGGGAGACAGAAAGACAGTTGATATACATTAATGTTTTCAAGTAATGTTATGTACAGTTTTATTGCCAGTATATGCACAACAGTAAGCATAGAACTATAAATACACAATGTCATTAACAGTAAAAAATAAAATTGTTACAGGTAAAGGGAAGAGGTTATAAACTATTTTCTTGCTGCTAGAACAGAAACAAAGGAGAAAGCCTATGACAAATCATCCATTCAGTACTCATCTTAAATTCTTTACATACATTCCTACATCTTTTTAATTAAACAAAGAAAGTACAGATAATTTTGTAATAACAGCAGATTGCTTCACTAATAGCCATTTGCCTTTCCAGTCAAATTCACTTTATGTTAGGATCAAAAAAAAAAGTTGGGGCTGGGGATTTAGCTCAGCAGCATAAGCGCCTGCCTTGCAAGCAGGCAGTCGTGAGTTCGATCCCTGGTACCAAAAAAGACAAAAAAAAAAAAGTTAAGATGAGAAATCATTAGTACTCTCATTCTAAATGATCTAATTTGGCCTTTAACTCAAACTGGTAATTGTGAAGGTTGGCTGCATGTGAAAAGAACAGGTTTAGCAAAAGGTAATTACAAAAATTTGTTTAGAAGTAATAAAAAAATCACCCTTTGTTTTCCAAAAGTCACTACAGGCAGCAGCTCAGTAAAAAGTTATCAGTCCTGAAGAGGTAGAGGATTTGAGCCTATTATACAAGACAGCCTTGGCACCATCTTCTCTCTCTCTCAGGATCAATGCTTCAAGTAAGACAATTTCCTGGTCAAAGGAAACCAGGTTTCACCATTTAAAGAAAAGGGGCTGGCTGGCTCCTGGTCTCATAATTAGTTATTAAGAAATAGAAGATAAAACCGTATTACTGAGTTTTTGTTGGATGTTTGAACAGAACTGTCTGCAATCTCACTGTATGAATGTCCACTTTGTATGCTTTAATTTTGTAATTTGGACAACTGTTTCTAAGATGACAATATGTAATCTATTAACTAATGATTTCTTACTGTTATTTTTTTTCTTGAAATTCTGTATTACTTGTACCCTTTTACTGCTTTTTTTTTTCCTCTTTAAATAAATAAAAAAAAGAAACAGAAGATAGTCAAGGACACACATGCACTTGATTTTTTGTCTGCTTCCATTATCAAGTTTATTCATAAGTGAATTTGATATTAATAAATACAAAAAAGCATCATTCACAACAAACATAAACCAAGAGACCCTGCAATGAAACCTTCTTTATTAATAGTATCAAGAAAAAAACAGGCAGATGATTTGGTGCAGCTTTCTTAAGGGGTCATAGAAGGGACATGGTTTTAAATAAAGATGGCAAGACTGATAACCAACAAACAATGATCAGTTTTGTAGAACTGGCTGATTCTGTAACATTTCTCTTTGAAGTCTTAGTTTTCAAACTACTGATCACCTCAAAGAAGTCACACTAATGACATGTATCACCATCACAGTAACAAAGCTGGCTGCAGTTAAAATTAGTCCTGCCTTATTTCACATCATTTTCAGTATTTCTAGCATAGGACATGATACAGAACAAAACTCAAAGTAGCAATAAAAATATTATTCTGCAATTGAACAGAGGCAAAAAATGTTTTAGACTGCTAAATTTTTAAAGCTTTAAGCATTCCTGTTTAACCAGCACTTAAAAAATTTGTACAATCATAACACTGGCAAAGGTTAATGGGAAGACAAAGTACAAACATATGAAATGATGAATTGGATTAAAAAATTACTTTGTTGTGACCAATTAATGGTAATACTGCTTCTTGAATTTGGAATAACTATCATCAAAGTTACATGCAGGCTAAGGATAGCCCTCTATTATGGAAAATACAAAACAAAAAATCAAAAGTGGAAAACAATGATTAAGTTCCAAAATGTACTTGAGAATTTCTCTTCATTGATGAGGGTGGTCTGTCTGTCCTTTTTTTGAGAGGCCTGGTTCAGTACAGTGAGCTTCACTAACTTTGTCCAGAAACATCAGTAGTGAGATCAGCTCCTCCAGAACCTGTCTGTGCACGTTTGATGTAAAGATTCAGTAGCTTCATCTGTGGAGTCAAGCCAAACACAGGTAACATAAGCAAGCTGTTCAAAATTATAAGATGGCCATGAAAAATTATATACATGTGTGTGGGGTTTGAAAGATACACCTTAGCTAGATGTGATGGCCCATGCTTTAATCCTGGCACTTGGGAGGCTGAGGCAGTAAGGTTGTTATAACTTCGAGGCCACCCTGAACTATGTAGTAAGATTTTGATTCCAAACATAAGTAAATACAAAATTTAAAAAAGGATACATTTTTAGGCAGGAGGTTATTATAATGCCCAAGCTATTACTGATAAAAATACTGCAGTGACACAGATATTCCTAATTTAAGGACTTACCTGGTTAAATACTGCTCAGATTTAAAACTGAGGCATGACATTTGGACTTACAGCCCATCTTTTTTTTTTGGGTAGAGTTCTGTATATTTTGTTCACAGAGGCTCAATGTCTCTTTTATTTTTTTATATTTATTTTTATTTTTGTCTTTTGAGACAGGGTCTCACTCTGCAGTTCAGGCTGGCCTTGAGCTCACTTTGTAGCCTAGCTGGTCTCGAACTTGCAATGATCCTCCTGCCTCACCCTCCTGAGTGCTGGGATCACGCCCAGCTAATGTCTCTTTTCTGTACAGTGCACTTCATTTATTTAGTACTATAATTTTTGCTGATTATGCTGTATAGTACTGGACTGTAGTTTTAGGTCGTTATTAGTATCCATGTAGGAGTTATGAAAATAAAAGCAAAGTTATCAAGGAATCATTTCTTTGTTCTGAATACTGTAATGTACATAACTGTACTCAATTATTCATTCAGTGACCATGTCAATTAACTACCTAATCATGGGATTGGAACTCAGTCATTAAATGAGGGATGTTTACATAGTCAAGAGGAAAAAATATTTATCATAGTTCTTAAAAAGCAATAAAAATTCAAGTGTCCTGCAGTTTGAGAGATACACAGTAATTCACAAACAAGTAACTAATAATCTATTCTTCAGGAAATAGTCCTCAGAAGTAAAGGTTTAGGTGTGGCAGTGGCAGAGGAATCAGCTGGTACGGATAACCAGAAGCTGTTGTCATTTTCTACTAACCACCTTACCAAGCTGCGACTTTACCCAAGTAACAGATATCAGTAGAAATAGGGAAATAAGGGTATTAGGAAGAATAAGGAATAAGCAGATGCTGAAAGGCTCAAAGTCTGACTCATTAAAGCTGAATAATCAATTTACCCTTTCATACGCACCATGCTTCTGTCTCAGTCTCTCTCCCTCCAGTATTAAGAACTGAATCCAGGGCGCTCGACCACTGAGCTATATCCCCACGCTCTTTCTTTTTTATTTTGAACAGGGTTTCCCCAAGTGGCCAAGGCTGGCCTACCCTAGCGACTCTTTTGCTCTAGGTCCCGGGCAGCCGGGACGCCAGGTTTTGTGGTTACCGTCTTGAACACGATGCAGCACTACTTACTTTGCTGCCAGTGAGCTGGCTAAGATGTGGTTTCAGTTCATCGCCAATTACCGTATGAATAGCTACTAGGCAGAAGACACAAGCTTTCCGCACACTGCTCTCTGAGTTATCATAACCCTAGGAAAAAAGTCCATTGTTAGTACTTCTGAGGGATCTGAGAAAACTACCTTTTTAACACAGACAGAAGAAGCAACTCAAAAACAAGATTTCATAGACTCTGTTGATGTTATCAACCTTTGCAGGTATAGGGACACCCTTTTCTTTTCCCACTAACAATGCACACTAATCTGCTTCACCCTATTAGCTCTTTCTTTTTTTTTTTTATTGGTACTAGAGATCTAAATCCCCAGCCCTATTAGCTCTTTATTGATACTTTCTTAATATAAGCTATACTTTTGTTTTGAAATCTGATTCTTGAATTTTTGTTTTGTTTTGGGTACCAGAGACTGGTCCTTGTGATGCCAGGCAAAATCTCAATGAAGTCCCTTTAAATATTTTATTTTGAGATGTTTTGCCAAATCGCCTAGCTTGACTTTGGGCTGAAGATCTTCCTGCCTCAGTCTCCCAAGTAGATGGCATCAAGTAGTAGGTGTGCTTTCACACTCAGGTCATAAAAGTATCTCTGAATCAATTATCTGAAGCTATATGTGTATTTCACCTGGGAGCAAACAGTTTGTCTTTTCTAAACTCCTGATCATTTTATCTTTTTAAAAAAGGCAGAAACATTAAAATATCGATAGCTACAATATATATTCTTCATAATAAACATTCTATCAAACTGTACATTGTATTTCTCATCCTAATATACATTAATTTTACAGTGCCTTTGTAACAGTGATATAAAGTACCCATTAGCATACATCCTAATTTTTTTATGTTAAAGAGAAAAAAACCCCAATGAAATAGTTTCAAAATTGGTTAGGAGAGTTATAATAATTAACACATTGTATGTTGCTGTCTTCATAGTAGTTATTTAGAGAATATATCCTATTTAACTATTTCATAGGCTTGTAAATTAATTTGTCTTGAGGTGCTGCCAATCTCCTGGTAAGGAGTTAGGGCCTAATTCATAATAGGGAAGTGCTCTCAGGTTGAGCTATCCTTTCAACCCTAGTGTTTGTTTTCAGTTTGTCCCTTCCCCCAACAACCTCCCTCTTGCTACCTTTTTTCCTATTACAATAACACTTCAAAGAATACTGCACTCAGTCAGGTGTGGTGGCACAAGTCGGTAATGCCAGCACTCAGGAAGCTGAGGCAGATGGAGTGTTGTGAGTTTGAGACCAGCCTGGGCCACAAAGTGAGCTCAAGGCCTGCCTGAACTGCAGAGTGAGACCCTGTCTCAAAAAGGAAAGAACAAAAGAATACTGCACTCAGTGTTGAAGTATTTAATGACAGATGTGTGACAAGAAGAAGCCAAGTAAAAAAATGTAGTGTTCAGCAAGATACACACTAACAGAACACTTATGGAACCGCATAGCCACGAGGGAGTAGGACAGAAATATGACTGGCAGAAAGTATTCTGCAGCAAAAAGGTTACATGAGAAACAGAATGGTAAGAATAAACTAAGGGGGCTGGGGATTTAGCTCAGCGGCATAAGCGCCTGCCTTGCAAGCAGGCAGTTGTGAGTTCGATCCCCGGTACCGATAAGGAAAAAGACAAAAAAAAGAAAAAAAGAATAAACTAAGACAAAGTGGGATGCGGATGAGTGTTCCAGAGTGACGTATGTATGCAATGATCCCACAGTGAGACCTACAAGTGAAAAACTTCATTCTGCAGGAGCACAGGAAATAAGAGGGAAAGGCAGGGAGAGGGCCACCTGAGAGAACCACAGCAGAGTACATGGGCTCGCTCTGCCATTGCAAACCCTGCAGAGCTTTAAGCGTGGTATGCTATCAAAGCCAGATTCAGAAGGCTGACCTGAGAAATGTCTAATCAAAATTTGCATTAATTTTCCACTGCTGTTATAACAATCACTATAAACCGAAAACCACTGTTGCTTATGGCTGAGTCATGCCAACCTTTGTCTCCACTTACACATAACTTACTCTGTGTGTGAATGCACGTGTGTCTGTGGTGTGAAATCTTCTATCTCTCCCTTATAATGGACACTTATTTATAACAGCCATTTATGGATCGCCAGGACAACACGGGAGTGTTTCCTCATCTCAAGGTCTTTAACTTTAAAACCTCATCTGTGAAGACCCTTTATCCAAATAAAGCAATATTTATGGACTCCAGAGAGTGAGACTATTTTTAGGGTTACCATTCAGCCCAGTATAAGATCCTCTGTCCATTTCTTAATTGGTTATTTTCCTTTCTATTACTGAATTGTACGACTTCTTTATATGTTAAAAGATGTAAGTCCCTTTTGTGAGTTACAAAATTTTTCTCTTATTGTGGGAGTTGTATCTTTTACTTCCTTAAAGCAAAAAGTTTTCAGGTCTGATGATGTCCAACTTACGTTTTTATTCTTTTGTGGCAATTGTGCTTTTAGTGTATTTCCTTCAGAGACCACACTGCTTAACCAAGGTGACATAGATACATTTCTGTACTGTCTTTGAAGCATAGGGTTTTTTTTCTTTTTTCTTTTTTTTAAAAACAGAGTCTTGCTATGTAGTTCAGGCTGGCCCAGAACTTATGGTAATCTTGCCTTGGCCTCCTGCCTTAGCCTCCCAAGTGCTGGGATTATAAGTGTGCACTACCACATCTGGCTTGAAGTATAGATTTTACATTGAAGTCTGTGATCCAGTTTCAGTTAATTTTTTAAACTGAGATGAAATTTACAGAAAAATGTAGCTATTCTAAGGTGTCCAGTTCAGTAGCATTTAGTATATTTACAACCTCCATATCTACTTAGTTATATTTTTATAAATAAAAAAAACACCTCCAATCACCCTTGTACTTATTATTTGTTGCTGGGGATTGTACTATAGGTCTGGTGCATTACAGGCAAGGACTCTACCACAGAGCTACATTCTCAGCCCTAAAGTTATTAATTTTAATGAAGTCTAATCAGCTTATTTTTCATTAATGCTTTGCTATCATGTCTAACAATTCGCTGCCAAATCTAAAGTAACTGAGATTTATACCTATGTTTTCTTCTAAGAATTTGATCACTGAGATTTTTGCATATGCAATGTGATCAATGAAGTCTGTTATCTCAGCAACCTGCCAGTGACCTGGCAGGAATGTTCTTAAATGCCTGGTGCCAAAACCTGACAATAATCCTGCCAGTCTCTGCAGATTAGTCTTTGAGCTGAGGTATTCACTCAACATTATGCCAGGGCACTTACAACTCTGCATTAGCCTCCACCTCTTGTATGAAACCCAAAGACCAGTCATTGGTCCCAGCCTTATGGTTCAGTCAGGTGAATGTTCTAGGTTATATGGCTGTCCTTCAAAATCTTTATTTCACCAAGGATCTTCCTCCTTGGCCTCCTGTTAACAAGTGTCTCTAATGCTAGTCTTGTCTAGTCTTCCTTGTCTCAGTGGCTAAGGGAAATATATGTCACACTGTAAGTCACCTTCGCCTGAGAAGAAGTGAAACAAAGGTTAGTTTTTATACCAGTTGTTCAGGCAGCCACTAGCAAGATCAAAAGAAGGTTCATATTCTCTTTCCTGGCACCAAGAATGTGGGGTATAATCCCACAGCTACTAAGCAGTGGGAAATGATAGGCAGTTAAACAACTTTTTGGTCACTCATTGTTTTGTATGTGTCAGGGTCTCACTGAGTTGCCTAGGTTTGTTCCATATTTGTAGGCTTCCTGCCTTAGTCTCCTGAAAAGCTAAGATTATAGTGCATACCACTGGTGTCTACCTTGTTGCTGAATTTGGGTGACCTTTATCTTTCACTGGGCACGCCTTTGATAACCCTGAGTTTTTGGTTAGATCCTAGAGTTTCAAATAAAGGGGATTACTTCTTTTCCCTCCCCACTCTTTTCAAAGTTGGAATCCTCCTGCTTCAGTCTGCTAAACAGCTGGATTATAGGCATGTACTGTCATGTGACTCATCTTAATTTTTCATTCTCAAACTGATTAAACTCTCCAGGATAATTAAACCTCCTTTCCCTCTTATTCATGCCATTTCATTATTATTAATTTAATACTTTAGGAGAGGTTGAGACAGAATCTCAGGCTGGCCTTGAACTCACTAAGTGGTCCAGGATTCCCTCAAACTCGAAGTGCTCCTCCTGCCTCTGCCTACCAAGTGCTGGGATTGCAGTTGTATGCTACCATGTCCAGTTCATGTCATTTCTTTATTATACAAGTTTGGTAATTGTTGTAGTGTTATTTTCAACATTCTGGATTTGGCTCACTATATCCTTACAGTAATTAAAAGATTTTTTTCTATGCTCTGAATTTTGATAGTAAAATGGACAGGCTTGATTAGATTCAATTAGCTGTTTTAGGAAATTTGTTTTCTGGTAATGCATCTCATAGAAAGATACATAATGTTTAGCAGCCTCACTTTCAGTGATAGTAAGATTGGTTAGTGGGCTTTGGTGTAGTGAAGCTGACTTCTACGTACATATTCTGACCCATCATCATTTTCCCTAATGTTTTTAGTGGCCAGTGAAAAATCACTTTAAAAATCCCTTGTATCAATGGGCTAAAAAACGTTAATTTTATAACTCAATAACTCCTCTTGCACTTATTAGCTAGAATTATTCTTTTTTTTACTTTGGAGAGAATAAAACCAGATGAGGGAAGAGGTCAGTCAAAACAAAAGGATGGACATAGTACATGACTTAAAACCAAAATAAGAAGTGATCCACATTGGTCACCGTAATATCTCTTGTTATCTTCAGTAGAATTGCCTCTATCATCAGGCATAATAAAGTTGAACATAGCAGCACAGAACAAAATCAATTAAAACAAAACATTGGAGACATTACAGGACTTCAAAAAAAGAAGATAACAGTCAAACCAGAATGGGAATCAAAGTGAATCGTATTGTCTTCAGATTAGTTGCCTATACCCTCAGACTTGATACCATCAAACATAACACATTTGAATAATATCAGTCAAAGCAAGACAGCGATCAAACAAAACAGATTTAAATGAAAATCAGTCAAATGAGACAGTGAAAGCAATACAGGGCTATGAATTAAGTTAA